TATCTGTAATGTCGTTGATGTAGAGAAGAAATAATACTGAGCCCAAGACTCATCCCTGGGGGACTCCAGAGACAACCGGTCTGGGATTAGAGTGTGTTCCATTGATCGATACCACTTGGGTGCGGTCAGTGAGAAAGGCTTTGATCCAGTCAAATGATCTGTCCCGAATAACTTAAAAGTTCAGTTTGGATAATAAGCGTTGGAAGGGGACAGAGTCAAAAGCCTTGTTGAAATCAAGAAGGATCACATTGGTCTGAGTGCGGTGACTGATACTCTTTGCCCAGTCAATGATGGCTGAAATAAGCTGGGTTTCACAAGAAAATGTCTGTCTAAAGCCATGTTGGTGATTAATAATGATATCGTTGGTGGATAAAATGTTCAGAAATGTGATTTAGCATTATATGCTCCGTAAGCTTACAACCTACATGTACATGTAAGAGAAATGGGGCGGTAGTTCGCAGGATTTGATCTTGCATCTTTTTTGTGTACAGCAGTTACTAATGCGTTGTACCAATCAGATGGTATGGAGCCTCTGTTATAAGACCGTTGAAATATGAAACATAGCCAAGGTGCAATGGTCCGCGCTATCGTCAGGGCCACATGCTTTGTTAGGATTTAATTGTTTAAGTACCATTTGAACAGAAATTTTGAGGTCGGAGATGGAATTATATTTGTGCATTTTCTTTGAACAGTGCTGGCAGCTTTTCTTTGCTGAAGACAGTATAAAAATATGAATTTAGCGTCTTAGCCATGTCTTTATCGGTGGAGTACAGCTTATGGCCAGATCGTAAGGGAGGAATGCCATTGTCCTCCGATTTACAGTTATGAATGTACGACCGAAATTTCTTCCGGTTTTCATTTAGGCTAGGACCAATCATATTATTTAAATAGATGCTGTGAGTTTCTTTGACAAGCCTCGCTACTGAGTTTCTTTCTCTTTTAAATTCCAGGGAAAAGAAAATGTTTGAAAAGGGTGGAAAATCAATGTTGAAGTCAATCGCTAACAAAGTTTGCGGGGAAAAAGTGATTTTGTAGAGAATATAGTGAGCAAACAACCGCAGGTGCATTTCGTATTTCTTTGGTCTCTCGTGATATTTTTTCAAAGCTTTCAAACTAATCTACTTACGGCTCGCTGAGTTGCGTTCGGCTGATTTCCCATCTGTACAGTTTTGGTATGTTTGTACGTAATTCCATTTAAATTGAGGCCTTACTAGAAAAAAACATTTTGCGTCAAAATATTGAAACCACAATAAGAAATATCGCCGAAGAGAAGAACGTTACGTGATTATAGTCATATACTCTTTTGAAATTATGTTGTGGAAGCCCTAGATTCCTAGTACTTTTTATACGAATTCAATCAACACTCATGATTTATATAATTAAAGCAACAAAATTTCCAAAATTTTCAAATAATTTAGGTTCGGGTGTCAAGACAAGTAAGCAAGCTAATTGTGTAATGTACAAAGCAAGGTTCCTTATCCTACGCAAAGTCGCAG